TATATATATATATATATATATATATATATATATATATATATATATATGCATGCATGCATACATACATACATATATCTATAGATATATACATATATATATATACATATATACATATACATATACATATACATATACATATACATATATATATATATATATATCAGAATCCGGATTGAATACACCCTCCTAGATGTCCCACATTACGGATATTATTTCCACCACTAGATATTATTCAAGTAGTATTTAGAGATTAAAAAATTTAAGTACTACACTATGAAATGATTAATACTATTTAGTATTCCCTCCGACCTCCGTTCTTATAAACCCTTCCACTATTGACTTTTGGCAAAAATAAGGAAAGTGTAATTTTGGTTGACTTTCTAATTTTGCCCCTGATGTAATGGGTAAAAGTAAGAAGATGTGATAGTTTGGTTATTAGTGAAAAAGTATGATGTGATTGGTAGAGTATGAAAAAAGTAAGGGTAAAAATGGTTTTTTAATAGAAAGTGGAAGTGTTTTAGGGAATTTAAAAAAACGAAAGGGAAAGAGTTTTGTGGAACGGAGGGAGTACAAATTTTGGCCAAATAGCGCTGATACGCCTCGTGGTTTGCAAAATAAGCACCAATACCCCCTCTGTTTTCAAAACTCATTTCTAAAGTTCATGTGGTTTCAAAATATTGCACCCGTGCCCCCTCTGATCATTTTCCGTTCATTTTTCCGGCGAAGAAGGGGGGCATTGGTGCATATTTTTTAAACCATAGGGGGTATCAATGCTGATTTTTATTTCTCACATATTTTTTGTTTTTTCCATTTTTTCCTTTTTTTGTTTCATTTATTAATAAAGGTTTTTTTAAAAAAATCATTTTTATAATGTTCTTGAAATTTAAAGTTATTTTTGTTTGAAAAAAATAACATATAATGCATATGTACTTCTCAAATTAACATTTTTTGTTTTTTCTAAAAAAATTAATTTTTTTAAGAACTTCAAAAAAATGAGGGAGAAAATAAGAAACAAATTTATACAAAAATAAATATCCTTTTTGGACATCTTAATTCTATGGACTTTTTTAGGCGTGTTCAATTTTTTTGTATAAGACTTTTTTTGCATATTTTAATTTTTTTATTTCATTTTTCCATTTTTTATTTTTTTATTCTTTGTTTTTTTGAACTTTCCAAAAAATTATTCTAAGTAGTAACAAAGAGTGAAAATGTCTACTTTGAGATAGATGTAATATATCTTAATTTTTTATTTTTATTTTCATTTCAAACACAAAGAATTTGAAAATTTTTGAAACATTATAAAAATTTAAAATATATTTGAAAATCTAGGAAAAAGAAAAAGAGAGAAAATATTTAAAAAAGGAAAGAATAATAAACGAAAATAAGAAATGAGCGTGATGGCCCCCTATGATTTAAAAATTATGTGTCAATGCCACCTCTTTGCCGGAAAATGACCGGAAAATGATCAGAGGGGTGTAGGTGCAACGTTTTGAAACCACGTGAATTTTAGAAATAAGTTTTGAAAACAGAGGGAATATTGATGCCAATTTTTCAAATCACAGAAGGTACCAGAGCTATTTGGCCTACAAATTTTACATATATGAGTATGTATGTGACCGGTAAAAATGAGTTTTCTTTATGGACGAAAGAAAACATGTTTTGCAACATATACTCCTATCCGTAACTCATATAAGTCGTCGGTTGTTGGCGTGTTGCTATAAATAAAAGGTTAACTCACATATATACACAGTGACTTATTAAAGAGAACAAGAAATTAAAATCACACAACAATTAATCTGTACAATGGGACGAAATTTGATTCTTACCATTGCCATCGGGCAGCTGGTCTGTCTAATAACCTCCCCTCCGTCGTGCCGCCGGAACACGTTCGCCGCCGCAGCTGGTGGTGGGAAGTGGGACCTTTTGTTGCCCAACGTCGGCATTGCCGCCATGCACATGCAACTCCTCCACAACGACAAGGTTGTCATCCTCGACCGCACCGACTTCGGCCTCTCCAACATCTCCCTCCCCGCCGGCAAGTGCCGCCGAGACGTCAACGATTTGGTTGTCAAAGTGGACTGCACCGCCCACTCCGTCGAGTACGACGTCGCCGACAACTCCGTTCGTCCACTCATGGTCCAGACCGACGTCTGGTGCTCGTCCGCCGCCGTCATGCCGGACGGGACCCTCGTCCAGACCGGCGGGTGGAACGACGGGGACCATGTCGTCCGGGTCTTCACCCCGTGCAATGACAAAAAGTGCGACTGGGTGGAGTACCCTGGCGCACTGCTCCGGTGGCGGTGGTACGCCACCAACCATATCCTGCCGGACGGCCGCCAGATCATCATTGGCGGCCGCGAGCAGTTCAACTACGAGTTTCACCCAAAGATCCCGGGAGGCGACCTTCTTTACGATCTCCCGTTCTTAGCAGACACAAATGACCCCGGGGTCGAGAACAATTTGTACCCGTTCGTGTTCCTAAACGTGGACGGACATTTGTTCATCTTCGCCAACAACAGAGCAATTTTGTACGATTACGTCAAGCGTGTTGTGGTGAGGTTGTACCCTGAAATGCCAGATGGTCAACCGAGGTGTTATCCGAGCACGGGATCTGCGGTTCTTCTACCACTGAAGAACTTGGGAGGTCCCGTGCTGGAAGCCGAGGTTTTGGTTTGTGGCGGAGCACCGAAAGGCGCTTTTCCAGCTTCTGAGCGTGGCAACTTCATGGGTGCCCTGAATAATTGCGGGAGGATGACGATTACCGACCCGGACCCGAAATGGGCCATGGAGAACATGCCTTTTCCTCGGCTCATGGGTGACATGATCACCCTCCCAAACGGGCAGATCCTGATCATTAACGGGGCAGCCCGGGGCTCTGCAGGGTACAACGATGCAAGGAATCCGGTACTGAGACCGGTTATCTACCACCCCGAGAACCCGATTGGGGCCCGATTCGAAGTCGAGAACCCGAGTGGGATCCCGAGGATGTACCACTCGTCAGCAATATTGCTTCGAGACGGTCGAGTTCTTGTGGGTGGCAGTAACCCGCACCCGAACTACGTGTTCGAAGATGTCCTGTTCCCAACAGAGTTGAGGCTCGAAGCATACTCACCGCCGTATCTGGACCCGACGTCCGCGGAGTTGCGCCCGCACATCACGTTCCCCGGTTTGCATTCGAAAATCGGTTATGGTCAGGAAATAGCAGTCAAATTCACGGTAGGCCCCAGATTCGACGGGAACTCAGTAACGGTAACGATGGTTGCGCCATCGTTTTCGACTCACTCCTTTTCCCAACACCAAAGATTGTTGGTGCTCGGGGGCGGGGACGTGAAACCCGGGCCCGGTATAAACACGTACCAAATTAGCGTGGCGACACCGGGTTCGGGTAATCTTGCCCCCGCCGGATATTACATGCTTTTCGTGGTCCATCAAGGTATACCCAGCGAAGGTATTTGGGTGAATATTCAGTAATTGAACGAATAACCAGCTCTAAGTTTATAATAGTACGAATAATTCGATCATTATTACAAGATCATTACTTAGAAAATTAAATGTTCTCCAAATTATATGGTACCATAGGTGACCTAACCATAACAATGTATAGTAAACACTTCTTTTACATGTATGTGTGTATGCAGAAGCTAATTAAGCAAGATGAAAACGACATTGTATATATATAGCTAGCTTAATGAATCATTTTGAGTGTTATATTAACAATTTCATTGCCTAAAAACTTTAAATCTAGCGCGCTAATCCTTATCTATATAGTCATTCCATCTGAAATTAATTGTTCCTTTCGTACACTATTACCGATTAACAATATTCGACAAAAAAATAAAATAGTATTATGACTATATAGATAAGGATTAGTGCGCTAGTATAGTAAACACTTTTCATATTTTCTTAAATGAAAACTAGTATTATGAGTTGATATGAACACCGAACTGAACTAAGAGCGCTTCCGTACAAGCGTTCGTACAAGTCATTTCTGATTCGCTCATGGACATGCACATCTGTGCGATTGAGAAACCGGCTGGCCCAATGCGCCCTTAAGTAGTGCCCCGGAACAGAGTTCAACTATTAACATAGTTCAACTGGAGCCGAAGGGACGGTTAACCATATGTCTAGCACGACTCGTATTTATGTTATAAATTATGTTAGTATCATTATAAAAGGAAATAAATACACTATATAATGCAATGGAATCTATTCATTTTCGCAAACAAAGGTCGCTCTTGTTCGATCACGTCAAGAATGAGGTCGTGAGGAAGTAACCGGATATTCCGGGCGGCTCACGGACTTTCTCGTACACGGGTTCGGCTGTTCTTAAAGCGTCTTCAAGCTCTTGAGAATATGGGATGAGGAAGAAGAAGAAGAATTGAGGCAAAGAGAATCGGCAAACCGAGAGAGGAGAAGGGATTAGAGTTTTGATTTGTTTCTTGATTGATTATTCTAAAGGGGTTACATATCTATTTATAAGAAATCAATGAAAACCCTAGCCCATTTAATTTCTAGTCTGTCGGTTCAACAAATGCATCGAGGTAAAGAACCGAAAAGAAATCTTTGAAGGAGCTTATAATTTCGTTCACCTAATAAAACATATATTACAATATAATAATAATAATAATAATAATAATAATAATAATAATAATAATAATAATAATAATAATGAATACTACTACTAATTAATTAATAACTAATAAATACTCCCTCCGTCCCAAAAAGATTTACACGTTTCAAAAAAATTGCGTACCACAATCTCTTACTCATTTCTATTAAAAAACCACTTTTACTCTTTACTTTTTCAAATCTTACCTATCACATCATACCTTTTTACTAATAATCTACACATCAAATCATACTTTTACCCATCACATCAAGGGTATTTTTGGAAAGTCAACACAAAATTATCCCTCCATTGATTTCTACTTTAGTCAAAACGTACCCATCTTTATGGGACGAAGGGAGTATATAACTAAATATCCTACTCTACCATCCATAACATAGTTCAACATACACAATTACTTGAGACATTAAATAGAGCATCGTATAATCATTACATAAGCGAAGAGTCATTACAAAAATGTCTTTGCAATGTATCACTATATTTGACCTCTCTTTAACAATATAATGGTGGATCTAGATCTAGAACTTCTATTACCCCTACGTCCAAAGGTCCATCAAGCCCAACTTGTTCACATTCCTATGGGCTTCAGAAATTTAGGGAAAAGCTCAACTCTTAAAAGACTTTTATACTACACATATAAGAATACTTATATTTGACCCACATATAAAAGTATTTAACATAATTAGATTTACAAAAATATGGTAAGACAAATTCCACACACTCCATGTAAGAAAGAACATCAAGGTTCCCATGACATTGGGAACCAATGTCATGGGATGACCCGGAGGCGCTCCGGTGCCCCGTTCGTAAAATTGACGGTTCCCATTCTCCCTAAATCTCCCGGTAAACCCCCCACCCCTGCCCCGACCCGAACACATCCTCCTAGGACTTTTGGTCATTATCAAGTAGTCATTATTCAACTAAATGTTCATGATTACAGGACATTATTCTTTCCACTAGGTCATTATTAAGTCCTATTTAGAAAATAAAAAAGTTTAAGTCCTACATTAGGAAAGTCATTATGTTTTAGTCTTATTTAGTGCAAATTACACTAGCTAATATAGAATGGAGGAAATATCAAACAAAAAGAAATGTAAGTTGGTTTCTTTAGCCTTCAAATTTAATATATATCACCATAAAACCGTCTAACAATTAATTATACCCATTATTTGCAAATGAAGCCTTAATTCGGCAACAATAATAGGGATTACTCACTCTGTCTGGAAATACATTTTTCTAACTTTTCTTTTTGGTCCGTTCGAATATAGTCTTTCTATTTCCTTTTTTAGCTTAATATTTAAAAGTAAATTTCAATAAAATGCTTCCATTTTAACACCCACCCACCCAAATTAATTCACTCCAAATTAAAAAAAGCATTATTGAAAGTTTAATAATCCCTCCATTTCAATAAACACTTCCTATTTTGTTTTTTCATGCAAAACCTCATCCTTCTTTAAATGAGTTTGTTAACAAATTTGCATAGAAAGAAAAAGTAAAAGTTACATATTTGTAAACTACATAAAAAATTATACAAAACAAGTGGTGATAAGAATATTTTGTTTCGTCAAATGACTAATAAAAAAAACCTGCAAACAAAAGTTAACGTAATGTCTTGAATAGTAAATAGAAAGAGTTTATTGAAGCAGAGAGTGCTTTTTTCGACTTCTAATAAACGTTCCAAGTCAGCACGGAAAAAATATTTAGTGACAAGAGAAATATAATAAAAATGGCAATATTATATTGTCACAAAGAGTGTGATGCCAAATGAGAGATCACAATTTGGGCAATGCATTTACTCCAAAGGCGAAATTTAACGCTTTGCATATGATACATACTCATTAAATGAACTCCCTCATTTACTATCCATCTTCTCCGAGAAGGTATATGGTATAATCGGATGTACGGTACATCCGGGTAGTACTCATTCTGAAGTCTCTCGTCCAAATATAATTAGCGTGATACTCATTCTAAAATAATGCAGTACTCATTTTCATACATTGGTTCAATATAATTATAATATTCATCTACAAATTATATAATGTTCATTCTGAAACAAAACAGTACTCATTCTCAAATAACTTAATGTTCATTTTCATGTAAAATAAAATTCATAACATAAATAATTTTTTGGTTGTACCCAAAATTAGGTACAACCGGATGTATAATATAATTTGCCATCTTCTCCCGACCGCCGGCTGGGTGGGTTTACATCTCCCAATTCATACGTTCCATTAATTGAACTTTCAAATCTCTTCTCCTAAAAACAAACAAAAAAAGAACTTTCAAATCCCTTTTTTAATTTCTACCCATTTTCATACATAAAACCGAGAAAAGTCTACTCAAAAGTGTCGTGATAATTAACCATACATTTACGTGACACTTTTTTATGCCTAACACTGTGGAAATGTGAGTCAGATTTCCACGCGGCTTCTTCCTTGCGTGTGGTATACCCCTTTCTTTCCCTACCCATAACATAAAATTACTAGTATCACAAATAAATAGTTCATATATTTTATGAATAAAAAATTAAACTTATTTTATTCTTTATTTTATTAAAAAATATGTGATTTGTAATAGAAAAATATTTCTTTGTATAAATTCTAATCACACATTTTATTTTTTTGTAGTACGGAGTATTTTAAAATTTCACAAGAAATTATTTACTCCGTATACACGTACCATTAATAAATCGCCGCAAAATCTACGTGTATAAAAAGGGGCCGGATGAAAGCTGAAAAGAATTTGTGTTTTTATTTACTCCGTAACAGATATAGATGAATCGTCCAGGAGGGAACATTATTATTATCACTTTTTTCCTCCCCCTGTGTTTTTTATCGGCCGGCGGCGGCGGCGGCGGCAAGTGGGAGCTACTGCATGAAAACATCGGGATAGTGGCCATGCATATGCAGCTCCTCCGCAACGACAGGGTGGTCATCTACGACCGCACCGACTTTGGCCTCTCCAACTTGTCCCTCCCCGCCGGGAAATGCCGTTTCGACCCCAACGACCGGGTTCTTCCGGTCGACTGTAGCGCCCACTCCGTCGAGTACGATGTCGCTTCAAACTCCCTGCGGCCGCTCACCGTCACCACCGACGTCTGGTGCTCCTCGGGCTCCGTCGCCCCTGACGGAGCCCTTGTCCAGACCGGCGGGTACAACGACGGTGATCATGTCGTTAGGGTATTCCGTCCGTGCGAGGACGGGCAGTGCGACTGGGAGGAGATGGGAGGTGGGCTGGTCCAGCGGCGGTGGTACGCCACCAACCACATCTTGCCGGACGGCCGCTTGATCGTTATCGGCGGCCGTCGGGCTTTCAGCTACGAGTTTTACCCGAAAGCAGAAACCAGAGACCATGCATATAGTCTCCGGTTCCTGGTCCACACCAATGACCGGTACGAGGAGAACAACTTGTACCCGTTCGTTTTCTTGAACGTCGACGGGAATCTCTTTGTTTTCGCGAACAACCGAGCAATCTTGCTCGATTATTCGAGGAATGTCGTTCTGAGGACGTTCCCGGAGATGCCCGACGGGCACCCGAGGTGTTACCCGAGCACGGGCTCGGGCGTGGTTTTGCCGCTGAAGAACACTTCGTCTATGGCTGCCACTCTCACGGCGGAGGTATTGGTGTGTGGAGGAGCGCCGAGGGGCGCGTACCTCAACGCTCAGAATGGGAAGTTCTTAGGTGCACTCAACACTTGTGGACGGATCCGGATAACCGACCAGAACCCGCAATGGGAGATGGAGTCCATGCCGATGGCCCGCTTGATGGGCGACATGGTCACCCTACCTAACGGGGAAATCCTCATCATAAACGGGGCCGCCTCCGGGTCCGCTGGATGGGAATTCGGGAGGGACCCAGTCTTGAATCCGGTTCTCTACCGACCCGACCAACCGGTCGGGGCCCGATTCATGGTACTGAACCCATCTCGAATCCCCAGAATGTACCACTCGACCGCGATTCTGATCCGTGACGGTCGCGTTCTGGTTGGGGGTAGCAACGTTCACGAAGCGTACAACTTCACCAACGTCATGTTCCCAACAGAGCTGAGATTAGAAGCGTTTTCGCCTCCGTACCTAGACCCAACGCTCGCGAACAACCGACCAGTCATCATATCGCCCACCCCAAATTCACAATTCGCGTACGGGAATCGGTTCTCGGTTCGTTTCAAACTCGCAGGCGGGGTGGCGAACAAGAATTCAGTCACAGTCACAATGGTTGCGCCTTCATTTAACACACATTCTTTTTCCATGAACCAGAGGCTGCTGCTACTCGATTCTTTGGGTGTAAAACCAATTGGGAAAAACGGGTACCAAATCGACGTGGTCATGCCGGGTTCGGGTAATCTAGCCCCATCGGGTTACTATCTGCTCTTTGTGGTGAATCAGGATATACCCAGCGAGGGTATTTGGATACATATTCACTAAGAAATTTATACACATATTCAATGTATATTTGTACTTTATTTGTCATAATTTATTGTGTCCACTTTGAGAGGGCACTTTTACTAATAAAATGATTTTTGTTAAAATTAAATTCTATGTGAAAGAAAGAAAAATATTGGGAATATAATGTTCTAAATGTAAAATATATGTACAATAAAACAAGATATACCCAGCGTGGGTATTTACAAATTTTTTGTGTGTCTATTTTAACTAGATACTTTTACTAATAAATTGAAAACAATTGCGCTAAACTTCACGCAAAAACACAAGTCATCCAGAATATAATAATGTGAATCATAAAATAAACTCGGAATGTTTTGATTTTTGAATAAAATAATGTATAAATTATAATAAATTGAGAGGTGACAGACTTGAAAATATGTGCAACAAAGCATTGTATAATTGTTGTTGTATCGTAAAACAATTAATTTTAATTATTGGTATGTGGCTGCATTAGCTGTTATGAACTTGACACATGGTGATACGAATAAAACTATGAAATATTTGCACTAAATAGCACTAAAACTTAAATGATTTCTCTAAATAGCACTTAAATTGTTTTATTCCCTAAATAGCACATAATAATGTCCATAATGTCCAATGATGGCGAATATTTGCTTGAATAATGACTAATGCATAATGACTAAAAATGCTATATTGAGAAGAAAAACACATGTGATGCTATTTAGGGAAAGTCATTATGTTTTAGTGCTATTTAAGTAAATTCCTCTAAAACTATTTGCTACGAGGGAGTGACGTGATGTTAAATCACACCGAATATGATGTCGAGTGATAAAAGTATGTTTGATACGGAATATAATGGATGTGAATTTTGACTCGTTCGATCTCCTTCACGTGGCGACTACCGTCACTTTCAGATGGGCCGCGCACCCCAGTCGCCCCCTCCAGCTCATCTCACGTCGTCTCATAAAACTCTCTCTTTTTGAAAAAAAGTGTCATCTTAACATGAGTAATTTTTGTGTTATTTTCTAATTTTGTTCTTATTTTTATAACTGAGTTGAAGCATGTAATATAAACGAATTTAAAATAAAACAAATCAAAATTAAATTCAGTTTGATATCAAAATCCGCGTTTATTTGGAGACAGTTGGAATATAATGCGGATTATGAATGTATACAGGTTGGAATTGAATGGAGTAACGAACAGTCTAGAAAGTGGGCAATTTTGTTGAATTAAATTTCATAATTTATCTTTTATAGCAGAGACTTTTTTATATTTAGTTTTTTATAATTAAATACTAAAGTCGTGATTCTTCTTTTATGAGTATCTTTCTACATATAGTTTTTGTCTTATATTATATTTGTATTAATTTGAAGACTAAAAAATGAATTTCACAATGATTTTTTATTTTTTTTATCATACACAATTCTAGAGGTTGCTCGTGGTGCACCGTTTGTGAATCGTAGTCGTTGTGTACTATAATCATAGCCTAGAGATGTGGTCTTTCGTCGAAAGTAATCATACTCTACAAACATAGTCATTATTGTTGTATTGTTCGTCTAAGCGACACCAAAATATGTTACTTGACCTAGGACTGATGTCAGATTATACTTTTAGCCCTCAAATTAACACTAATATGACAAAAGATCAAAAATGATTATTTGTTGATATATATATATATACTCCCACGCTTCTTATATTAAAACATTCACTCTTTCGTTTTTTGTTTCCCCCAAAACACTTCCATTTTCTATTAAAAACAACTTTTACACATACTTTTTCTTACCTTACATATCACATCAAAAGCAAAATTAGAAAGTCAACTACAAATGTACACTCCTTATTTTTCCTTAAAATCAAAATAGGAAGCGTTTTATGAAACGGAGGAAGTATAAAAGGACTACGAGAGTAATATTTGATAATGGAAAACTCAATATAAAAACTCTCTATTATTAAAGACTAGTCATGAAATTTACTTATTTTGTTTTTTTTTTAATTTTAAAAATGAAATTTACTTATTTTGTTTTTTCTTTAATTTTTAAAATTGAAATTTACTTACTCGTATTATGGTATGCACGTGAAGCTGGGACTACGTTCTGCAATTTAGCAGCTGCTTGGGGAAAGAGACAAACATGCTTACCAATTACCATCCTTAACTTGCATACATATGATAATACTTCTCATAAAACTTTCTATATTGTCCCTAAATTTCTTTCTTATTTTATGTAATAGATAAATTATCAGATGTAATACATAGAGTAAAAATTAATAAAGTTAAAGTGATTTTTTAATACTTCAATTCGTAGAAAAGAAAAATAGATTAATTTTGAGACAAAGAAATAAAAAGAAAAAAGACTTTTAGGAACAAATTGAGTAGTTTGATAGATTTTCTTTAGTGAATTTTTATAAACTTGATCACAAATTATGGAAAAATTATACTCTTTCCGTTCCCAATTCAATTACATTATTGTTCGAGCGTGTAAAATCTCATTCTTTTTTAAAAAATAGTTTTATCTATATATCGATATTGAAATAAAAAGTAAAAATTACATACTTAAAAACTACATTGCACGTCGTGACCGTTTAATTTCGAGCATATTTAAAAATTATTTTATCTATATTTTGATATAAAAATAAAAGGTATATATAAATTACATATTCTAATTAAGGCACCCCTGAGATGTATAATATGTGAATGTTTTGAGCATTATATTACCCGGAAACCTTATTCATTTTAAAAGTGGTAGTGAAATATACGCATTTTCATTCAAGCTTAACACAATGTTTGGTTCGAAAAAATTTGAAAGAAAAGAAAAGTCACTAATTTCTACTCATTTTCCTCACCAAAATAAAAAAAATTGGTTATTTTTCCTCTTGTTAGTACATTTTATCTTCTCACTTTATTTTTCTTCTCTAACCAAACAAAAAAATTATTTTACTTTTCATTCTCTTTTCCTTTTCAAATCTTTTGAACCAAACATACTCTATAGAATGAGTTTGAATCTGTTATTGGTGACGCATGCAGTAAAAATAAATGAATTAATTAAAAAAAAAAGATGCATGGAATCTGAGGTGATCAGTTCACGGGTAGGAAAAAGGTTGTCATTGGGTAAAAGTGAATCACGGGATGATTGAATTGGAACGAAGTCCCCAATAATAATTCAAACAATAAATTTATGGAAGAAATATAATAGTCAGTCTGTCTCAAATTAATGCTTCTGATTTCACCTAAGAAGGAGTTTAAATAAAGTAAAATTATATGATTAAAAGTAATGCAGAAAAGAAGAATAAAAGGTGCCTGTAAAATAACAAAGAACGTTTTATTGATTGAATGAATAAGAGAGAAATACAAAATATGTATTTATAGGTAGAGGAATATATATTCTAGAATCCTCCACATTAATGACTAATTATATAAGGTAATATTATATAATAATAAGTCTAATTATAATAGATAACAACCATAATTATAATATACAATACTAAATATATTAAAATAATTAATATATTTAACAGTGCCCATAAGAAACTTTTCAAAAAAAGGAATAATTAGGACGACCAAAAAAATATGGCTGATTCAGTTGGGATGAAAGGAGTATTTCCTTCTTCCCAAAATATATAATTTTTCTATTTAAAATTTATAATATATGACTGAAATTATTCTCAATATAATATTATACTCCCTCCGTCCCACAAAAAAGTTCTCATTTTGAATAGTATTTAGTTAAATATTTACACGCTTTAAATACAAATTGTGAGAAAGGTATATTGGATTATAAAATAAATTTAATATAATTAAATTCATCTTAGGATCTAGTTTTGATATCTCAAATTTTTTTAACATTTCTTTATTCTAGATTATATTAATTTATGGTCAAAGCGTTGACAAAAAATACATCAAAAAGTAAATTTTTTTATGGGACGGAGAGGGTATTCAACAAGTGGTGTGAACTAACAAGACCAGATTATTCTAGGCCGAATATAAAGAAAGTTACATAGATAATAATAAACCGATATGTGATAAAAATATAAACGAAATGCCAAAGTTAAAACACTCATAATCTAATTGTTATGAGTACCAAAACAAAAATGATTCGAACCAAAGTATATACATATACATCGTCAAACTTGACAAATTTTGAATTTTAATTAAATAAAAACTGTAATATTTTTTAATATAGAAATGACTTTATTAAATTTATCGTATTGAAATTTTTTAGAATTGTATTCTACTCCATATTGTACTAATATGCAATACAAATTAAAAATGATTGGAAATCAAAATCTGTCAAGTTTGACTTAAAAAAGTCAAAGTATACAAATATAATGGACGGACATAATGAGTTGGGCTAGACCTCCAGCCCATTGAGACCAAGTCGCCCAGAAAAGAGACCATCTCTAAGGAATTAGGGTGCACCGTTCCTTAGGAGGGACGGACGAGATAATCTTTCTCATTATTGGACACAGAGAAGACAGGAAATATTGGTCGGAAGGACTGATTTGTCCCTAAGTGAATACGTTTGAGCTAAGATAGGAATTTCTGGAAAAGGGAGAGATCGCCAAGATATTTTTCCAACCACCGTGGATATCTTGATTAGATTTTGGCTGGGAAAGCTCCTTTAAAAGAAAGTAGAGTTTAGCCATTATAGAAAACTTGTAATAGAGAGATGGGACTTGAGTAATAAAAAGAGAATATTCTGATGGTCATGTAGAGTATTCAGATGCATAATTGGACCGAATAAAGGAAGGGACTCCGGTTTGAGTTAATTCACTGTGTGTTGTCTACTTTCTTACGATTCATTATTCTTTTCTTTTTACTATTTCATCGTAATAAGGTCCAAGAACTAATATTTGAACCTTGAAATGTCCAAAATCCAAGAAGAAAATATGGAGCATCCATCAATTATATACTTTAAGGTTTCCACTATTATCACATTGTGACATAGTGTACCAATTCAATCATCTCCTTTCTCCTATTTTCGTAAAGCATAACTTTAGAGCATTTGTAATTGATGGCCAAAATATTTTCTAACGGGTTCATAAAATGTTGACTTTGTATGTTCCTATTATTAGCCTACTAGATTTTACCCGTGCCATGCACGGTCAGAATAATATAATAATAAATTACTCTGTGTGTGTAAAGAATTTAAAAATCAGAACAAATAGATATAGTAGACAATAACATTTAAAATATATCACACCCGAATACCGTTTATTTCGAACAACAATGCCTTTTATAGCGTTGTTATATCATCTAAGAGTGCATTACACATAAATACTAAAAGAGCATTACACATAAATAAGTTATACATATACAAATGCATTATAAGTTTTGGAATACTTCTTTGTACACAAAATTTGAAGTATAGTCCAAGGCATTATTTTCTTCGTCGCAACATAAGATCTTCAATCCTTCACGATTTGTAACACGGGAGATTGCTACATATAGCTGACCATGACTAAAGACGGGTTTTTTAAGTAGCAGCCCAACATGCGATAAAGATTGACCTTGACTTTTGTTAATGGTCATTGCATAAGAAGTCCTGACAGGAAACTGTTTCCTTTGAAATTTGAAAGGAATCCTTTTATCCGATGGAGTCAATTGTTTTGAACCTTTGACCTATTATTAAATAAAATACATATTGTATATAAATTAAATAAAATAATATTTTGAAAATTTTTGATAGAATAAATCTAATAAGATTATTTTTGTATCAATATCTAATATCATTTTTATTTTATTTGAGGTCAAAGTGAACCAATTTTGATCAAAAAAAAGTTAAAAATGGACAAATAATTAGAGACAGAAGGAGTATGACTTGGAAAAAATTAAATATTGAAAAGTTCATAGTCCAAAAAATGCACACCCATTTAAACTCATAGCCCAAAAAACCCTAGCCCATTCACCACTAAATATATACGGAGTCCTCCCCCTCTTCTCCCATTTTCTGCCTCCCCCCTCTTCTTACACTAGTATTTTAACCCGTGCTATGCACGGGTGGAACGAAATTGTCTGCGATTCTACAACATGGATTATTTAAATCATTTGATTTTTTGATGTAGTGTTTCATTTAAATATCAAATATAAATGATCTAGTTTTACTACATCTCTAAAAATTTATAATTTTTCTATCCGTATAAATTTAAAAAAATATTAATACAAAAAAATATTAGTAATCATATGATTTTTCTGCTTATTAATCTTATAATTTTAAGATTAAAAAACCATGATAGTTTTCACGGCCCCCATAATAATTATGATTAGTTGAACCCCTCGCCAGTTGATTAGTTGTAAACTATTGGATTAAAATGACTCTATGATTAAACCTATTATTTAAAAAAATCAATGATTGTTCCCTGCATTAATTTTTTAAAAACAAAATTAATAAAAAATATTAGGACTCCAATGATTCTGAAGGGAAATAGGGAAAGATTTTTATATGAGTAAAATATAGGAAAATAACCAAAAAAACTTCATGTTTTTATCTCCAAAATAAAAAGGAGAATTTACGTAAATAGCACTAAAACATAATGACTTTTCCTAAATAACATCATATGTGTTCTTTTTCCCAATCTAGCAGTTTTAGTCATTATTCAATTAAATAATGGATATCACTGAACATTATGGACATTATGAAGTGCTATTTAAAGAATACAAAAATTTAAGTGCTATTTAGAAAAATGTCTTAAGTTTTAGGCTATTTAGTGCAAATATTTCAAATAAAAATGTCAATAAAGTAAATATATAATACCAAATATTACAATGAAATTTCTATATGCAATGTCATATTGTCATAATGCAACAGTATTATTTTGGGAATAAAAATATATCACTCTCATTATGGTAATAAAGACAATATTTTAATCCTATTTTTATTATTTTCTTCATGGGAAATTCACAAAAATAGTTGGCATATATTTTATTCTCTTTTTGTTTTTTTAAAACCCTGATTTAAGTGGTATTAAGTCTACTTCCCAAGATTTATTAGAAAGTTCCTAGTGTATGCAAAGGTACTGACTCTTTGTATGTCATTAGGTTGAAAAAAAACATGAGCAAATCTTAAGAATAAAAGCAAATTTTCAAAGACAGTAATAAACTATGTCCAAACCAACAAAACTTCATTTAGAATTAAATAATCCATTAACTTTACATAATTTATAGATTACTATGAATTAGTCAAAATCTTTAAAGATCAAATTGAATGTACCCACCACATATTATCTTGGGAACATACTAAATTACAAAGGAGTAGGTATCTAATTATTTCTTATTGAAGAGTGAATTGTGAAAAAATCTTATTAAAAAGGATCATTTTAGAAATTTACTCAATTTTTTCTACGTAACTTACTTTTAGTTAATAGCAGAAATCTGCTCTTGGGTACCCATACTTTGAAAAACTAAGTGCCGGGTACCTCACATTTTTAAAAAATACTCCGAGGTACCCTTTATTTTGAGAAACTAAGTACCGGATACCTCACATTTTTAAAATATACCCTGAGGTACCTCCAAATACACACTAACTTACCAGTGAGTGACATTTCGTCTCACTCTGCGTCAAAGCCAGTTAAGAATTAGGAGTTCGAAATTTCAAAAATAACCTTGGTTCTTATAGTTTAAGGATACGATATGTCTAGTTTAATTGAAGCTTTCGAATGAAACAAAATGTCCCTCACCGGTAAGTTAATATACATTTGGAGGTACCCCAAAGTGCATTTTTAAAATGTGAATTACCCGATAGTTGATTTCTCAGAATAGAGGGTACTTCAGAGAATATTTTGAAAATATGAAGTACCCGGCAGTTATTTTCTCAAAGTAGGGAGTACTCAGTCGCAGTTTTCTGTAGTTTACAGTATGATAGTTTAGTCAAAATTTAGTTGAACTAAATCCAATTCCGTTAATTGCACGTTTTTTTGCTCAATACATTTCATAAAAAAGAATAGATTAATAAATTTAAAAACTTTTCATATTATACTTTAAAAACTTTTCATTTACTTCATCCATCCCAGAAAAGACTCCGGGTTACTATTCAAAGGTCAAACTAACTTAATTTTATGTATACATTTTCATTGATCATTTGATAAAATAAAATAACATTGTCAGTCCTTATTTTGTAGAACTTTTAATACAATTTCTTATATATAATTTTATTTTTTAATTTTACGCCAATTTTTATTTATATTGGTTTGAATTGCTATGCACTTAATTTTTATTGAAAAATTATATTTTCATTTTCATTTTGAATTAAATAACCCATTAACTTTACATAATCTATAGATTACTACGAATTAGTCAAAATCTTTAAAATTCAAATTGAATGTACCCATCACATATTATCTTGGGAACATACTAAATTACAAAGGAGTAGGCATCTAACTATTTCTTATTCAAGTTCTCACACAGCATGATTTATGAGTTGCATAAAAAGATGCAATGTCTTGGATTATATAACTTGTTCAAGGCACACACTCATAATTGTAAAGAATGTTTTCCGAAACCTTAAATACCTCTCCATCGACAACAATGTATGTCTATCATTCTTGGTGGAACAATAATACTTTCAACAACTTTAGACCTTGCCTTTGCGGCCACCTTATGATTCTTCAGTATACACCAACTAAAGCGAACCATATCTAGCAAAATTGGTAAATGGTTAACCAAAAAGGAGAGTTGCGGGCTAGTATAATTTATGAAATAGTTACACCAAAAGCATCACATCATGCAAGTGTTAGAGCATTAATAATGAACGACATAAAATGTAATCCTTGCAACATCTTTGTTGGGTTGAAAAGCAAGAACATTAGTCGTGAATGCTAATGTGGTAATGACATCTGTGCACCTCCCACAAGCGTTAGCCGTATGATGGAGAACGATAATGACATAAAAAGAAAAAGAAACCAAGGCCAAAGTTGATTTGTTTGTGGTAAAAATGTTCCCATTAAGCCTAAGAGGCTTATATAAGATACAAACAATGAACTTTCAAATTTACCTCATTCATAGTGCATAAAAATGGTGGCACAATACATGGGTTTTATAAAATGATAGTATAATAATTGGAAAAAGGCAGTGTTTGATATGATCTCACATCTATTCTACTCAACAACAACAACAACTCACATCTATTCTAATCAAACATAAAAATGTCCACTCTAAAGATAAAATGGAGTGTATGAGGTAGACATGAGAGGGAGGGGGGATGAACTCAATAATGCAATGAAGGGTACTCATTTAGGAAAAAGTGATCTATTATTGAAATCTAAGAGCTGCAATTGCTGGAAAGTTAAAGTCAACGATCAGCCCTAGCAGACACTCTTCTTACCTCAGCTTTGGTTAATTTTTAAGTCATGGATCATGAGTTTTCACCCAAAAAAAGAATGTTTGACCTTTTCTTCAATTTCAATATCGTCGTCATCTGAGTAAGCCGGCACATTTGTCTTAACAAACCTTTGTGTCATGCCAAAGGAAAAAAACCGACCAATGCCTTAACGTCTTTGTCGAACTGCAAACCTCTGAGTTATCTTAAAAAGTTAACTGGCACTTTTATGTAAAATGAGAATGTGCAAACAGGAACATAATATACCATGAATATCAAGATATTCAAGCAATATGACTGCAAATTAATGAATTTCAAATTAACAAAAACCTTACCATAGCCATAACAAAATGGATGCTGAAGTTCCTTATTCCTCTTTACTAAGATACCTGAATGTTTGTCATTTATATGATATTTTAGTTACATTGACATTCCACACCTTATGCCCTCCCGATAGTTTAAAACAAATATGAAAATAAATTGACGTGCATGGATCATGTGTTTGAGTCATCCATAACTACACCATTGAGTTGTAAAAGAATTACAAATTTGAATCACATAAATAATTTATATTTATATAGAGATGAAAACATATAAAGATTTTATTTATATATTCACGCACATCCAAAATAGTATGAAATTTGTCTGAATATTGGTAATGAAGTTAAAATAATTTTATTTCAGTAAAATTGAATTTGTAGAATTAAGTAGTTGAGGCAAAAAATTTGAATATAGTACAGGTAAATTCTGGAGAATGATATCAGCTCACTTTAGGGCTTTAGATTTCAGAAACAAATGAGTTTTTTGTTCCCAAAAAATATAGAAGTGCATTAACTCTCTCGTTCCCAAAGCTTCAAATCCAGAGTTGTTTTGCTATTGGTTTCGATTGAAAAGAGACAAATATCCTAAAAATTTGGGAATAGAATCAATGCAAATAGATATCGAATAAGTTAAAGATCAGCAAGAACTATCAACTATAAACCGTAATAAGAATCCCAGAAAATCAAACTAATTAAAGTGGAATTGAATTACCTTTCTCGTTCCCAAAGCATCAAATCCGAAGTTGTTTTGCTATTGGTTTTGGTTGAAAAGAGAAGAAAATCCTAAAAATCTAGGAATATAATCAAATATATCGAATCAATTAAAGCTCACAAAGAACTATCAAATAAAACCATAAGAATCCCAAAAAAATCGAATCAATAAAAGTGGGATTGATTTATCTTTCTCGTTCACAAAGCTTCAAATTCAAAGTTGTTTTGCTATTGGTTTCGATTGAAAAGAGAAAAAACCCCAAGAATTCAAAATAGAATCAAATATATCAAATCAATTAAAGCTCAGAAAGAACTATCAAATATAAACCCTAAGAATCCGGGAAAATTGAATCAATTAAAGCTCACCTTATGCATCGTTCAACACTTATATTGAAGGAAACACTACCTAAATTTTGGAAAGACATGAGAATCGCAAAATCAGAGTCGATCGAATTTTTGTAGTTACTGTCTTGCTTCCGGGAGGGTTCATTAGCGTAGAAGGAATAAGCAATTTAAACGAATAATATTTTTCTAAAACACTGATTTGTTTGGATTTAAAATAAATCATTCAAGCCTCATACTCTCATAGTTCAATTGCAATAATAAGTAAAAAAGACAGGGTTCTTTAAATCATATAAGCATCATAGTTCAATAAAAATTAAAGTAACTTTCATACGCTCGTAACAATATACATATTACAGAGAATAAATTGATTCAACAGGAAATGAACACCACAAAAAGAGACCACACCAAAGGAAATTTCAACTTACAAACTCATCCATATAGATTTTCTTGAACTGATAGTCATATTGCTTTAACCCTCACACTCACTCATCGGGGTAATTTTCAAAAGGGGATGGATTTTTTGGTCGTAAACTTGTGAGAAATATAGAATGAAAGTATGGTGGGAGGAATGAATGTAAATAAACTCCGTATTGTAATCATAAATTTGACCAAAGACCTGATTTTTCTTTTAAAACAATAACACAATACAATCGTCCTTCAAAAAAGATATTTGAACACCAAATTGATACAATTAATCAGTTCTAAATGGTTACTTCTAATTTCGAAATAAATGGGTATTATAATTATCCCTACTTTCAACTCAAACTGAAAATTGAAACACTGACCAAATCAATTGATAAATGGGTTTGTGGAACCAATGAATTTTAGACACTATGGACATACCATATTTGTCAGTTACCAATGTAAGAGCTTTTGTATTCTCGATGGTTGTTGCTGCGGGATGAGGAATTACAATTCTTCGCCTAAAATTGATGAAAAATCAAATCAATAATAATTTATTCAAACAATTAAAAACTTAATGAACCCTTATAATTAAGCGCAGGTGAATAGAAGAAAAAAGGAACTATAGAAGCGAAAAAACAGAGACCATAACGTTAAAAATGAAAATAAGGAGAAATTCGATTTTGGCATTGACTAATAAACTAAGGAGAAGAAAACCTGATTTAGAGCTTTGGCGAGGCACTTCTCATGAATTTCTAGATCCGATTTCCGTTTGCTGAAGAAGAAAAGAGTTCATAGAGCATGGAGAGAATTTTGTACGCTTGTTGAAGACAGAGATCACAAAAGGTATATTTTCGCTTAAAAGGAAGGAGATCGGAAAGATATTTTTAGCTCTAGGGTCAAACGAATGAAAAAATCCCTTTTAAAAAATTAGATGCCTAATAATATGACACATCATTATGCCAAATGTCAAATTCCTAGGAATCAAACTCTCAAATATTATATTAAATGATTCAGTGCCCCCCTTATCCCTCTCTGTTTCTCAATCTCTATTTCATTTTCTTACTATCTCTCACAATCGATTTGGTCTAACCAAATACATTTTCTTCTTTCTGAATTTATGGATTTATATCCTGATTCGATTCATTTTAATGAATTTTTGTATTTTTTTGTTCGGATTTGTTTGATTATCATGTTTTTTTCTAATTTTTGTTATCATCTTGGTGTGATAGACCGATTCTCGGGGAAAGGGACGTCTGCCACCTAAGATTGAGCTCGATCAATGGTTTTTTTGATACTAAGGACTCATTTTCTGGTTCTTATTTTGATCGAGCCATAGAAAAATACTTTTAGTCTATAGATCATGTAACTATGTGATCTAGAAAATTTTAGTGGTTTACCCGCGATATGTTGTATATAACATATAATATGTTTTTAGGTTTATTCAAATATTCGTATAAAAATATCATATGTTCGAGTCTTATATACTTTTATGTTTAATTTCTACCGACTATTTTTTCTAGCTCAGATCTGCTGGATATTTCCTTATACCTATTTTGAGCTCATAGATTCAGCTCAGCAATACGTTATTTGATACTAAGGAACCCTTTCCAGTTTTATTTTGAGCGACCCATAAAAAATTAAGTTTTCATAATATTTTAGTGGATAGATCTAAAAGTACTGTGATACAGTAATAATGGATCTATCCCCATTTCACCCTGATGTTTGGTTAGAATTTTACTTCTCTTTTTATTGGATATATCACCATTTTAGCGTCGGAATTATATTATTTACTAATTTTTTTATGGGCTATTTGAATTGTGTTTTTGTTTTATATTATTTCTTTTACCTTAGATTTCAACAATGCAGTGCATCATATAGAAATTTAATATTTGTAGATCAATCCCAACAAATACTCGGACAAAGATTTTTTTTTCCGATCTATTACATCCGATATATTTTAAGAGTCCTTCAAAGTTTTTCTTTCAATACTATGGCGATCTTACAACCGGGGACCATGCATATATGAAACAGGCTGTTTTGATTCAGATTCATTGGCCTATTTTGCATGAGTCCGTCCTTGAAGCCATACATGTTACCATTATATAAGATACTCCTTTTCGGGTTAGATTAATGCAAGATAAGAACAAATCTTACAACATTTTCCACTGTTTTTCTAAGTTTTTATGACAATTTCATTAATCTATATTTTTAAATGATAGGTACATGTGGTTCCTTTGTGGATTCTCCCTGGGTAATGTCTCTGGCATAGCTACAATATACAGTTATGTGATTAACTATATTCTTATTTTTTTTATCTATGGGAAATTTTTTATGTTTTTAATCTTTATTCCGAAGCTTTGTAATTAATGTATTTTTTTGCAGGTACACCCTAACGTCTAACTTGTTATTCCTGAATGAAATACGAAAGGTACTCACAATACAAAAGAAATAACATATCTTACAATATATTTGAATTTCTTATGAATGCAATTCAAATTATTAACGGTTCATATATGTTGCAGGTATCACATGCTTCTTGGTTTAGATGAATCACAAAAGGTAATAAAGAGTTGTCATTTGTCAATTTCACTCTAGCTATATGTTCTAATTATTATTTTCTTTCGCCTTTTCTGAAATCAACCTTTTTTCATGCTAGGTACACATACATATATCCTAATCTCACTTGCTCCAAAGGTATAATCCTCCGACATCACTGGAATGATATTTCATTTTTCAATACTTTCTCATCTTTAATTCGAAATTTTGTAATATTTGTAAATTGTGGCATTAAATAGGGTAAGGAAGTAATGCGTGTTTAACTAAAAACCATTTTTTAAAAAAGGAATAGGAATCACAAAACGGAAGGATGAACTGTATGTGTTCTTTAAATATGATTTACCTTTTTCTTCTACTGAATCTAGTGGTCTCTTGATCCTGTAAGTTCCATCTCTTGTTAGTCTTTTCATGGTTAGGGAGTACTCGCCGTATCCTTTTTGCCAAATGAAAGATGAGTTTAGTGAGGAGGTGAAGCTTTAATAATTAAAATGGTTATGTTTTCTGTGGACAGACAGTTTTCCAAATAACCACCCACTAATTTCATTATAATGATAAATTTCTTTTAAGTCCCCACGAAATGTCTTATGATTTAAGTAATTAATAGCAGTAGGTTAATGAGGTTGACTACTATTGACTTACAGATATATAGATTTGATTTTGTTTTACATATTTTGGATGTATGTCCTTTGTGTGGTTTGCATTTCTGTTATTTGTGTCTCTGACGTCTTAAACAAAGGTTCACATAAGTTATTTTGAATATGTCCTTTTTGAAATAAATTAAAATCAGTGATATTACTGGTATTTACAAAATTTTGTATATTTGAATTAAATTGTTTGTAACAAACAGAAAGCCTTAAATTTTTTTCTGTTCTAAAGAAGTAATACAATTTTCCCTAATGTCATGGGATGATCCCGGGGCGCTCCAGTGCCCCGTTCGTAAAATTATTTCCTACCCCTCCTAACCCCTCGGTAAATCCCACCGACCCCGACCCGAACACACACCCCCACCACCTGACCCGAACACACACCCCCCCCACCTTCAATTGCACCCCGCAATTTGATTTTAACTTTGGAGTCAAATTTTGACTCCATAGTCAAGATCAAATTGCGGGGTGCAATTGAAGGGGGTGGGGGTTTGTTCGGGTCAGGGTCGGTGGGGTTTACCGGGGGGTTATGAGGGGTAAGAACTGTCAATTTTACGAATGGGGCACTCGAGCGCCCCTTGGTCATCCCATGACATTGCCCTCCAATGTCACTTAACCTTCCCGTATAATTTTTGGAAAATTACTAATCTAAAAAATTACTTTATGAATTTATTTTAAATAATAGTCATCTATACTTTTAAATTGACAATTTTCAGAAAATATGAACTTGGAAAATATATTATTTCAATTGGCCAAAGTATATGCATATTGATGTGGATTTTAGTTGTTCATTTTTTGTATGAATTAAAAAATATATTGTTATGTTAATATAAAAGTATAAATAAAAACAACTTACAGTTTTTGATATTACTGATAATTACAAAAGTTTATATATTTGACTTAAATTGTATTGTGTATAACAGACCAAAAGCCTTCAATTTATTTATGTTTTAGAAAAGTAATATGATTTTTGGAAAGTTGCTTTTCTGAAAATTTACTTAATGAATTTATTTTATACACTGCTAATCTATATTTTTCAATTGACAATTTTCTGTAATATGAAAATGTACAATATTTTATTTCTATTAGCCATTGTACATCAGAATATTGATGCAAAATTTAGAGACCCATTTTTGTATGAATAATCTATACTGTGTTTTTGGGCAAAATATTTTTTTACTTCTTAATCAAGGGTTTTTATATTAATAGGGTACAAAGAATTGAAACGGAATTTCATTAATTCAAACACAATGAAAGAAGTACATTAACATTATTTAGAGATAGCCACTTCCAAAACCATGTTTACTGTGCCATATCCAAGTTGGAAACTTAGTTTGTAGGGTCTTGAAAATATAAATACATAAGAAAACACCTTGTAACCTGTGACACACACAGGTTTAAAACAAAGTGTGGAACACACTTGAAGACTAAAATAAGATACGCACTGTCCCCAATGTGTTGAACTTGTGCATAGCACATAATTCAGACATAGGGTGCAGGTTATTTAACGGACATAATTCTGCAAACAGTACAATTTAGTAGATAACAATCTAGGAGATAAGATCTTCGATAACAATCCCATTTCTTGGTTTCTTTCTGGGTTTGGTTGTTGAGCTCTGATCCATGAGGAGCTTACCAAATTCTTCATCTTTCAGACTGCCTTCCACAACTTTTGCCTTGCCTTTATTCATTTGCCTTGTGCCTTTTTCATTTGAGGCAATCTGATACAAAATTTAAATAGTCATTCATAGCTCCCCTTTATATCATTATCCTCTGTATTATGAAATTAGTTAGGGACACTACCTGTTCTGTGTTGAAATCTAAAAAATCAAAACCATTCCATGCATCCATCTCGTCTTTAACCGCTGCAGGGGATTTGTACTTGGCAATTGTCTTCGGGTCCGTAATCATTGTCAACACACCAAAGCTCATCGGTCCTTGGTACTTAGCGTAGAGGGAGGCGTTTCTCAAAACAGTTTTAAACAGCCCGGTCTTTGAAAGTACTTTTTGCTCAAGTTCTTTCGGAAACTCGCGGTCATCCCCGGTTCACTTTAAGAAATAATAAAACTGAAGAAGAATTATTTTCATTGATTAAATTGTGAGGAGAGTACATGTATATATACAAAAGTCTCAATCCTAATTAAGGTAGGAGAGACAATCTAGGAAACCTATACAAATATGGTAACAATAATAATATAATAATATTAAATATATTATATATATTTAACATGCTCCCGGCTACGTCGGCAGTGCTGGGGGTCGGATACCCAGGCTTTCTTTGAAGTCAAGAAATAACTGTGAGGGCAGTCCCTTTGTGAAGATATCAGCAAACTGAGAAGATGACGGAACATGCAGGACTTTGATCTGACCGAGCGCCACCTTATCACGCACAAAGTGTATGTCAACCTCGACGTGCTTGGTGCGCTGATGCTGCACCGGGTTTGACGAAAGGTAGACTGCACTGACATTATCACAAAAGACAAGTGTGGCGCGACGAAGTGGCTGCTAGAGCTCAAGGAGAAGGTTTCGGATCCAGCTGGTTTCAGCAACAGCATTCGCTACAGCCCGGTATTCCGCCTCGGCTCTGGAGCGAGAAGTAGTGGCCTGGCGCTTAGACGACCATGAGACAAGGTTGTCGCCGAGGAAAACGCAGTAGCCCGAAGTAGAACGTCTGGTATCAGGACAGCCAGCCCAATCAGCGTCTGAATAAGCCTGTAGATAGTCGGTGGCGGATCTTGTCAAGTAAATGCCATGAGTGGCAATGCCACTGAGATACCGGAGAACACGCTTCATGGCTGTAAAGTGGGCGTCGTGTGGGGCATGGAGGTGTAGGCAGAGCTGCTGGACTGCATATGTGATGTCTGGACGAGTGAATGTGAGGTACTGCAGTGCGCCAACAATGGATCGGTAAAGGGAGGGGTCGGAGAGCGCCGTGCCAGCTGACGCAGACAGCTTCGCCTTTGTATCCACCGGGGTTGAGATGGGCCGACAAGAAACCATCCCTGCCCTCTCAAGGATGTCGTGCGCGAACTGAGTCTGGTGGAGGAAGAGGCCAGAATCTGTGCGGTGAACATTAATCCCGAGGAAAAAGTGCAGATCGCCCATATCTGTCATGGAGAACTCAGCCTTGAGCTGCTGAATGAGACTCTGTAGTAGTGCTGGCGAGGATGATGTGAGAACTATATCATCCACATAAAGTAGTAGATAGGCCGTGCCCATGGGCTGAGAGAAGACAAATAGAGAAGTGTCGGCCTTACATCCTCTAAACCCAATAGTCTGTATGAAGCCAGCAAACCTGTGAAACCATGATCGGGGTGCTTGCTTGAGACCATATAGAGCCTTCTTGAGCTTGCACACATAGTGAGGGCGAGTGGGATCCTGAAACCCAGAAGGCTGACAGGCATAGACGGTCTCCTGCAGCTGGCCATGAAGGAATGCATTCTTGACATCAAGCTGATGAATGGGCCAACCTCGAGACAGAGCAAGACTGAGGACAACACGAACAGTGGCAGGCTTGACAACGGGGCCGAAAGTCTCGTCATAATCAACGCCAAAACATTGGTTGAAACCACGAACCACCCAGCGGGCCTTGTACCTGGATAACTCACCGGTTGGGCCAAATTTATGTCTAAAGAGCCATTTACCGGTGATGAGGTTTTGTGAGGGTGAGGGGGGTACTAATTCCCATGTGTCATTCTTTATCAAGGCATTATATTCATCACACATAGCAGCATGCCAGTTTGGATCTTTTAGTGCACTACGGTAGGTTGGAGGTAACGGGGAGATGGTGACAGAGGTGTTAAGATTGAGAATTTGTTTAGGACAAAAGACACCGGCTTTGGAGCGGGTTTGCATTGGGTGAGTATTGG